AGATCAAACCGAAATGACTTCCGTCGTTTCATGTATTGGTGCTCCGCGGCTCCACCGTCGCTGGACAAGGATATCAACGCTCACCTTCGTCGACTGGAAGGGCTTCCGGCGAGGACGCTATAACGATGGACGTCCTCTTCAAATCGATCGACGTCCGAGATCTTCTTTCCGTGCCGGACGTCGACGACGCTTCGGCACCGCTGTCCGCACCGGATCTCCGCCTTCTCATCGACCAACTCCAACTCCGCTCTGTCGACATTAAGTCTAAAGTCCGTCAGTACATTCTCTCCCACCACTCAGATTTCTCTGCGCTGTTCTCGCAGTGCTCCGACGTCGTTTCGAGATCGGAAGATCTCTCCGGTCAAGTCTCAGACTTGCTCCGTCTCCTGTCGGACCGACCTGTCGAAGTTACTACAAAAGCTGTGATTGATGAAATTGTTTCGAAGCGGAGAGAGCTGAGGGAGAAGAGGGTTTTACTAGAGCTTGTGGGAGTTTTTTTGGGGCTTAGTGAAAAGATAGAGCTTGTGAGAGAGGAATTGAAGGCCGGGAGTGTGGAAAAAGCAGCCTTGGCTCTGAAGGACTTGAAGGAGGCTCTGCAAGTCTGCGAGAATGACCTGCCTACAGAGGGGAAGCCACCTCCTTTAGTGTATGATCTGTTACAGAACCAATGGAGTGAGTGCTTTGAAGAGGTAAAATTTTGATTTCTTTTTCTGTTGAGGACTCGGACTCGGCAGGGAATCAGAAAAGCTGGTTATTTGAGTCATCATTGCATAGTATACTGAATTTAGTGAACTTGTTTACTATGGTAGTATTGCTTTCAATATAATGTTTTAACCTGTTACGTTGTTATTTTGGTTATTAAGAGAACTTTTTTGGAAACACAAATAGTTTGATTTTAATGCTCTAATGGCAGTTGATTTGCACAATAGGGTAGTTAATGGAACTAGATTGATCGAGGTGGAGTCATCAGTAATCTCTATACTTCATATGAACTCTCTAATGTAGCAACATCATAATTCACAAATATACATAAATAAATAGCAATGATTATTTTGCATAAAGCTTCTAATTAAAATTGTGCATGGTGTGTTTTCATAGGCCTTCAAGATGCTTTGATACTCTGCTCGAATATTATTTTCTTCTCTTATGATTTCAGGATTTAATGGATACTCAGTACTCTCTGAATTCCATCTAGTTTTTCCTTAGTCAACTCGCATTGGTTATGAATCTGATGGAAATTCTCCTTATGTAGCGTCCTTAATGGTTGTTTAAGCATTTTCAGTTTTTGAGTTAACTGAAACATACTTCTGCCTTGGATATCTTGACCCCAATAGTGTTTAATGATTTGATCAAACTCAGGGTTTGTAGTCCACATATCACAGCTGCCCATGAATTCCTTTCAAAAACTGCCACAATTCTTTTCTCTATGACCATAAATAAATGTGATAAGAGCAAATCCAGTCTCTCCTAAACATTTCACCTTACAATGCACCAGTTGATCACTTGCTTTGAGAATATGCACCTCAACCTTAGCAGGGTTCCATACTACCCATATTCTCCCTAGCGGATGGTACTCATTATTGATATAAGAATCCGAACTATTTAGAACTCTTTCCTTAATACTGGCAAAGTTACTTTGCCTTATTTTGGTCTCAAGCACTCCCATAACATTGATTTTATTCAACCTAATAAAACTCTGAAGTTCCATTTGTTTATTAGGACTATTAAGTCCTCTTATATTCCAGCAACTGATCATGTGAGGAAGGGATAGTGTCCCATGTAAGGGACTTCCATCAGTGATTTATGAATAGCTACATCATACGATCTTTCATACTCCTGATCTTCCAGCTGTATTCTTCTGCAACCTTTTCGTTTACTTACTTCTCTGAAACCTTCCTCTTGGGCTTCCTTTGGCATGTTTATTTCTGTGTCTTCTTTTGTGTTTTCTTCCTCTCCTTTCTGTTTTGATTCATTACTATCTTCTGGTTGCTCCACCTCTTTTCTGTCTTCTTTTCTTTTCCATACCATCCTCTTCTTCACATATGTTTTCTTCCTGCAAGCTTTTTCAGGATGGCCAATCCCTTTGCAGTGTGATCCCTTTCCATACCATCCTCTTCTTCACTGGATACCATTCATACTTTATTTCTTGTGTTATGATCCTTCCCTGATCATCCTCAAACTGAACTTCCTCTGGAAATTTTTGTTGCATGCACACTCCAATCTGAATCCTTGCAAAACTTAGCTTTATTTTCTTGATAGTAGTCCTATCTGCTCTTATAGGATTTCCTATCATGCTGCCTATTTTATTCAGACCTGAGTTACTCCAATAGTTGATATCCAAATCTGGAAGTTGGACCCAAATTGGGATATCATTTAGCTCTTCAAGGGACACTGCTACCTGGTTGCCAATTTCTCACATAAACCAGTTTGTTGTCAAAATAGTAATACTTTCTCTTGAGAATATCCTCCTTTTCCTCCACAGTTTGGAACCTGATAACAA